AAAAGAAAAAAATAACATAGTTAATTATTTAAATGAAGTACGAAATTACATAAATATAAAAAGAAAGAAAATACAGAAGGAAGTACAAAATTACATATATTAAAGAAGGAAATAACATAATTAATTATTAGGGCCAAATTTTTGCCATATATGCTCAATTAAATCATTTTTTAGAGCGTTATGAGCTTCCCTATTGCGAAGTTGTTCCCTATTAGCCATATACCTTGATAGGCTTGCAATTCGTTCAACGGAGAATCCAGGCAGCTGACTATCATCTTCTACGGAGCTTTCTTGTTGTCGATTTGTGGGCATGTCGTTAAGAAATTCAGTAGGATCATAATAATGAAGATATGTATCTCGTTCGTCTTCAACAATCATATTGTGCAAGATAATACAGGCAATCATAATTTGTCCCATATTATCTTTGTCCCAAACAAGACATGGAYGTCGAAGAAATGCAAAACGAGCTTGTAGAACTCCAAATGCTCGCTCAACATCTTTTCTCACACCCTCTTGATGTTCGGCAAATGCTTTTGGATTTGGGGAGACGTAATTGACTTGACAAATGCAGCCCATGAAGGATATATCCCATCAGTGAGATAATATGCCCTATCATTTTCACGACCATTCACGACATATGTAACTTTTGGTGCTCGACCTGCTAATATATCATCAAAAATAGGAGATCGGTGAAGTACATTAATATCATTTAACGAACCTGGTGTTCCAAAGAAAGCGTGCCATATCCATAAATCAAATGATGCGACGGCTTCCAAAACGATTGTTGGTTTTCCACTTCTTCCAGCATATTGTCCTGCCCATGCGCTGGGACAATTTTTCCATTGCCAATGCTTGCAGTCAATACTACCTATCATACCCGGAAAGCCATGTTGATCCCCAACATGTAGTAGTCTTGCCAAATCATCTTTGGTAGGCTTTCTAAGGTACTCGTCACCAAAACATGAGATGACACCATTTACGAAGTTGATGAGAGCTTCCCTTGTTGTGGATCCACTCATTCTCAAATATTCGTCAACTACATCAACTGATGTCCCATAAGCCAACACCCTCATGGCTCCAGTACATCTTTGCAATGGTGAAAGACTTTGTCTACCCGTGGCATCAGGTCTTCGTTGAAAATATACATCATTAGCACTAACAGCATCCACTATACGATGAAATAAAGGTCTTCTCATTCGAAATCTTCTTCGGAAGATAACATCATCATACGTTGGATTCTCAACAAAATAGTCTTCCATCAAACGTGCTTCATCCATCTCACGTTACCTGTCACGATATATTCTTCTTGCTCTTGGAGGTTGATCTCTTATGAACATATTGGATGAGTTTATCACCATATCATCGACCATGCGATCAAGTTGTTGGTTTTGTTCAGCAACTCGTGATTACCATTCATAAAAAACGTCAGCTAAATCTGAAGAAGAGTTTTCACTATGAGACATTTTAGTAAGATTTGTGAGAAAACTTTGAGAATGGTTGTATGAATTAGTATATGGTGAAAGAACAAATATATAAGGAAAATTTGAATCATCAGTGGGGGACAATGGCATGTGAACTTTAAGTTGATAGAGACAACACATAATGAGGAGACAATGGCATGTGAACTTTATTTGAAAGAGACAACACCATTATAAATAGACATGACATGTGAACCAAAGCTAACTTCCAAAGCAACCATAGCCATTCATTTTAATTAAAATTACAAATACATAAAATGTAAA